TGTCCTCTGGGCCAGCAGAAACACAAACAGCCACACCCTCTCCAACGCCACTCGGGCTGCGGCCGGCTTCCAGATTTCCAGCGCGGATCCCATCCTTAGTGGAGAGCGGGGAGTGCCAGCCACCATCACGCTCCCTGGGAGTGCTCCCCGAGCTCAGGCGCCCCAGGCCCACCCTGAGCTCTCGCCCGCCTGCCCTCCATGGCAGCTGTGATGGCGGCCATCCCTGGTTTGCTGATGAGGAAACAGACAAGAGCTGGGGGAAGGTCACTGCATGGGGACTTAGGCTAGAGGGCTTCCACTCCAAATAGTGAGGATTCTGTGCAGTGGAAGTTCCTGTCCTCATGTGGCACCCAAGTCTAAGCCACCTAGGACAAGCACGGAGGCCCCACCGTGTGGGATCCCCCGCACCCTTCAGCTGGGGCGTTGCCCATCTTCACCATGGCCAAGATGGCCACTCGGCACCACAAACCAGCCAGCAGGAAGAGAAAAGGGAAGGGACGGGATGGCGGTCCTGCGGAGGAGCGGACACTTTCGTGAGTCACTTCTGCTCCCGCCTTCCTGGTCAGAAGTTGGCCACCCTGGTGTGTCTGACCTGAATCCAGGCCACAGGGCTCTACCCCGCAGGTGACACAGGTGGCTGTGGGAATCCTGTCCCCGCATGCTGGGGCAGTGCCCGGAGGGAAGCTGTGGCTGAATGAGGGAAGGAATGAGCTCACCCCCAGTTCACAGGCTCCCCCCAGGTCCAGGAGACCAGCGAGCAAAACAGGGGAAGCGCGTCAGAGCCGCGTCCTGGGGAAGAGTCCGTCGGTAGAAACTGCAGAAAGGCCGGGTCCCCCAGGTCAAGGACAAGAACCGAGTGGGGCGACCAGGAGGGCTGGGGCAGCATTCCAGGGGCGAGGAGGTGAATCCCCAGCAAGAGGTAGGCCTGCAGGAGGACAGCAGCACTGGGCAGGCGGCTGGGGCGGCCAGGGAAGGCAGCGGGAGGCCAGGGAACAGCTGCAGGTGGCCACCAAGAGGCGGGAGGCTCTCACCAGGAAAGGACTCTGCCTGAGGTGCCCCAGGATCCCGGGGCTCCCCGGAGACAGGCCCCCGACACTCAGGCTCCACCCTGAGAGCGGGGCTGGGGCTGCCCACCCTGGCCTGAGCCCTTGCTGACGTGACAGGCAGCTCCGCCTGCATTGCCCCTCTGCCTGCTGTGCCGCTCTGCCGCCTGTCACCAAAGCCCTTCCCGGCCTCCGTGCTCCCAAGATGACGACTTGAAACCAACGTCCCCGTCTCCCTCCAAAACCGATTTGAAGTGACACCGGTTTTCCCGCCAATTTGTGGGTGGGGCAGTCTGACCACTGGTTTGGCACCATGACACCCAGGAATAGGAGACCCTTGGGGAGGGCACGCAGCCGTCCCCGCTGTGACGCCGACTGATGGGTGGGCTCCAGACCCCAGGGTGGAAGGGTCCCGGGCGACTCCAGGCGTGGGTCTGAAGGCCTGGAAGGCTGGGCCGGGCACCCCCAAGACGGGACCCCGTGGGTGGGGAAGATGGGGGCTGGATGTCAACTGAGATGTTGGGTGGGGGCGCTGGGTGGCCTCGGGAGCGGTGGCCCAGACATGTCACCTCAGCATGGTCAGGAGACAAGCTCGGCTGAAGCCCGCCTGGGGGAGAGGTGGGGAGGGCCGTGCTGCAGGAGAGAACGGGGGACCCGGCCACACGGCGTCCAGGGCTGGGCAGGCGTGACCCACCAGGACAGGTGTCACGACGGTCACTCCCAGCTGCTCACAGAGCTCCCTGGTCACTTGAGGAGAACTGGACGGAGCAGCGGACACTCGTGTTTCCTCTCAGGTTCCTCCTGGGGCAGAGGAGGACATCAGGAGCCAGGTCTCTCTGCCAGGTCTCCACGGGACGCTGGGGCCACAACAAGACCTCACTGACCCCAACGTGCTCGAAAACCCGGGAACAGGGCTCCCTGCCCACCATCGGGGTTAGGTCCTCAGAAGTGTGAGCCTGGTGCGGATTCGGAGAGAACAGAGGACGCGGGGGGACGCCTCTCCAGCTCCCGCAGCGGCGGGGACTTCAGAATCAGAGCTGAGCTAAGAAGCCAGGCAGGAAAGGGCGCTTGGTGGATGATTCCATTCACACAGAGCTCAAAGCCCTGTTAAAGCCCAGCGCCCAGGGTGCGCAGGGGGTGGCAGATCTATCAGGAAAGGAGGGGAGCACCGGCCACGAGACTCAGGGGCCTGAGGAGTCTGCTGTCTGTCAACTCTCCTCCTTTGATTCTGAGTGCTGGGGAAGACCCAGGGTGTTTTACCACTGAGCTGTTTCCCCAGTTCTTTTAATTTTTTATTTTATTTTATTTTTATTTTTTGAGACAGGGTCTGGCTAAGTTGCTGAGGCTGGCCTCAAACTTGCAATCCTCCTGCTTCAGCCTCCTGAGTCACCAGGATCACAAGTTGCCTGCAGCCGTATCCGGGGCAATGTTCTAGTTCTTCACCTGCATGGTGTGTCATGGGGATTTTTGTGTTATGTTTTACGTTTAAGCACTTTTGTCTATATTCTGTTTCCCAATTTAAAAATGCATCAAAAGCCTTAAAAATAAATACATACAAGGGCTGGGCTGTGACTCAGAGGTAGAGCACTTGCCTAGCACGTGTGAGGCACTGAGTCCGATTCTCAGCACCACATATAAATAAATGAATAAAATAAAGCTCCATCAACATCTAAGAAATCATTGAAAAACAAATACATACGTACGTGCACACATACACACGCACCTTCATGTCCCCTGCCTGTTTTCATTCTGGTACTCTAAACTACAGAAATAATCACTCCGTCCGGCAAACTTTAATGCATGAAGATGTCCACTGCAGCATCATTAGGATAGCCCTGTGTTCTCAGCCGTATTAAAGACTGAAATCCTGCATGGCGTGTCTGCAATGTGGAAGATTATTTAGCCATCGCAAAGTCTGCCCAAAGACTACTTCATGAAATAGGAAAAATGCTCACGGTCAACCGGGGAATGGGGAGGGAAGGAGTAGAATATAAATCATAGGAACTAAATTATTAAAATAAAAACTTCCAATAGACACATTACCTGTAGACTGTGATCCCGATATTGTCAGTGTGTGTACACGTGTGTGTGTGTGTGTGTGAATAGCGAGAGCACTCACGTTAGGGGATGGAACCGTCCTATCTGTTTTCCTGATACACTTTTTTCTTGCTGGTGCTGTTTGTGCAGTGCTGGGAATTGAACCCAGGGCTGCTCGACTGCTAAGCCACATCCCCAGCCCCTGTTATTTTTTATGTTGAGACAGAGCTTCACTAAGTGGCTTAGGGCCTCACTAAATTTCTGAGACTGGCCTCAAACCTGGGATCCTCCTGCCTCAGCCTCTGGAGCCGCTGGGACTACAGGAGTGAGCTCCGTGCGGGGACAGCAGATGCACCAGGCAGAGGGCTACCCTGCTGGGCTGGCAGGCGGCACGGCCCCTGGCCTGTGGCTTCTCCCTCCTTCCCCTCTTACTCCTGCCTCCCTGGCCCGCCCCACTCCTCTGCTCCCTTCTCCCCACAGACACCCACGTGGGGATATTTCCAGAGTGTTCTCTCGTCCATCTGCCATACATTTGTCTGGATCTACGTGTATCCAAATAGTCGTGGTAAAAAGCACATAAAGATGGAGACGTTCTGCTTTTTATGTGCTTCTCCGTTTTTACCCCCAAGGCCCCCGAGCTCCGGCTTCTTCCCCAGCCTTGGCGAGGTCGCGGTCGCTGCTCTGGGCGGTGGGACTCTGTGTCAGGGTGCACAACCCCCTCAGCCACGGCGCTGCCCCGGGGGGCTTCCTTCTGGTCCTGGGCAACTGGGAACCCACCTCCGCCTCCTCCGCAGGTGAAGGGGCCCGGGAGCTGGCCCTGGGCCCTCCCCGCGGCTCCTCCTCCTCCTCCTCTCCCTCCTAGCTGCTTGGGACGATGACCCCTGAGTGGCTTCATGGTGGCAGAGGCCACGGGTCTGAACGCAGCCTGGGGAGCAGATGGCAGGCCAGGCCGCGCCCCCGGGCCCTTGTGCGGCAGTGACCCCTCCGTTGGGGCCTGGGCTCCACCTTCACCATGGTCAATGTGCACTTGGAGGCCCGTGTTCCCCTCCTGCCCGCCTCCCGCTGGGCATGTTGCCCCAGAGCCCTGGAGCGAGGCCATCGTGAGCCCTCCACAGTGTCCCTGGGCACCTGTAGCGGGTAGGGAGGCCACAGCCAGGGGCTGCGACCTCAGAGGCCCTGAGGTTCAGGAGCCTGAGGGCACACGCCTGGGGGGAGGGGTGTCAGGTGGTTGTCACTGGGTCTCATCAGGCGCCGTCCCTCGGAGGGCCCCGGCTGTGGCTCTGGTGGCCTGCCTGGCCTGTGACGCTGGCTCCTGACCATCCTTGAGATTCTGAGCGTGTCCTTCCCTGTCACCAGAACTACGAGGACCAGTTCTGTCGCGCCCAGTGGCTGACCCTTTTCATATGCTGGACCAGAGCCCAACCAGGGGCGGATGGCGCGTATTTTGACTTTATGGATCACACAGTTTCTGTGCAGCCCAGGCTGCGGTGGCACTGTTGACACAGCCACGGGCCGTCTGTAAATGCGTGGGCGTGGCCACGTCCCAATAAAACTTTGTAAAAACAGTGGCCCGCGGTTGTGGTTTGCCGAGAAAGAGGTGCCTCTCTCCAAGTCTGTGTAGTAGTCATGCCTTGTTCCCTGTCTTAGTTCCCAAGGAAGCACCTTTCTTGGTCCACGCAGAGGGGGCCACACACAGCCTCACACCTCCGCAGGGATCAGCAGTGGACAACCTGCGCCACAGAACCAGGGCACCAGCGAGTCCAGGCCGGCCCCACTGAGCCCCCCTCCCCCCGCGGTGGCAGCCCCCGCCAGCCAGGCTTTGTCCCTCGTCCCTGGTGGCATCAGCTTCTTGCTGAAGAAGGAGGGCAACCGTGGGGCTCCGTTCTCAAAGGCGCGCTGTTCCCTCCGCAGTTCTCATTCGCCCAGCAGAACGGGGCCTGCGCCAGGCCCTGGTGGAGCTCTGTTTAAAATGCAGGCGAGTGTCTGCCTCCGGCTGCAGACCCGCCAGGACTGGGCGCCTGGATTCCAGCAGCGGCCTCGGGAGCTGTCCAGGGCTGGCCAGGACTCCCTCCCTGGGCGTCGGACCCGACCAGGAACAGGGGGAAGAGGGTGCGGGGGCCGGTGCAGCCACAGACGCGGCACCCCCAGCACCTCCCCTTCTTCCAGGGCCTGCCGCAAATCTGATCTCCAAGGCCAGCTCCGAAGCTCTGCGCTGGGATTTGCAAATCCGATGGACCCTCTGCTGACCACGCTGCACCTGGACGCCGCTCCCGCAGTCCCGCGGAAGTTCCCACGCTGCCCCTTTCAATCAGTTGGTGGCTTTCTTTGTGCAGCGTGACGTCGTTTCAGGTGGGCGACTGCTCTATGCCCCCAGCCTGGTCCCGTGGACAGAGCCGATTCCGGAACCGTGAGAACATGCCAGAGCTCCGCCGCGTGGTCCTTGGTGAGGTCTGGCTGTGTCCCCAAGTTCACGTGCTGGACCTCGGTCCCCGAGTCAGCGTTGGGAGGCAGGGCTCTGTGCTTCCCAGTGGTTCAGGTTGTCACCACAGGAGTGAGCCAGGTGTCCTGAGTAGATCTGTTGTCAAAGGAAGCTTCTGCCTTCTTGAGCCAAAGAACTTTCTGTTCTTTATGAAGTACCCAGCCTCGGGTATTCTATTATAGCAGCAGAAAATGGATCGACGATCCTCAAGGAGCACCTGTTGAATAATGATGGAGTTTGTTTCCCATGCTGCCTAACTGCCCGTCCCCTGGGCACTGAGGGTTGAGCCAGAGTCTCGGCGTGCTGGGCCAGTGCTGTGCCCCTGAGCTACATTCTTAGCCCCACTCCCTTTGCTTTGAAACAGGTCTCCTTACGTTGCCTAGGCTGGCCTCAAACGTGTGGTGATCCTCCTGCCTCAGCCTCTGGAGTAGCTGGGATTACAGGTGTGAACCACGGGGCCAACCTTTGTCTAATCTTAAGAAGCTCCACTCTCCTCCCAGGAAGACGCCGCTTAGGTCAACCTTAACTCTCTAATTTCCACATTCAGAACTCATCCCTCAAGTTGCTTTTCCATATTGTCAAAGATCCTTAAGATGCAATGGCAGAAACCCAACTCGAGTTCAGGCAAAACAGGGAATGCATTGGTGCATCTAAGTAAAATGTCTATTTAGCTTCAGGCACAGATGGATCCAGGTGCTCAAAGGGACTGCCTCTTTGTCCAGGGTCTGTCTTGGAAGGCTGAATCGGATGGGCCAGGACGGGGACAGGCTCAGTCACCGACTGAATGACCAGGCCTGATCCGGGGTCTCCCGCTAGCAAGCAAGGGTGAGTCCCACGGGAACCTTGTGGGCTGAGGGTGGGTGTGGTGGTCCCCAAAGGTGAGCTGGGACCTCAGCACTAGAAGAGGGGGCTGGGGGCCGGGGTGCAGCTTGGTGGGTAGAGAATCTGCCTGGTGTGTTCCGAGCTCTGGGCTCAGGCCCCAGCACCACAAAAAAAGAGGGAGAAGAAGAGGAACAGATGCTGAGAGGCAGAGCCAAGGCCCCGAGAGGCTCCTCCCGTCTCCACTGCAACCCGCCCTCTGCCTCCCGGAGGGCGCTGTGCCCCCCCCTCGGGCACCTCGGTGGCTCCCTCAGGATGTGGGACCCGCCAGGAAGCGGTTCTCGGGATCCAGACGACACTGGGGGTGTGGAGCCGGGCAGCCAGAGGGGATGCGGGCGTGGGCTCCAGGGAGACCCTCCTTCCAGCAGCTGCTCGGATCGAGGTCCGGTGTGGACCTGGAATCCCTGCCCAGCGGCCGCTCCACCGCCCTCATCTCGCCCCAGCACTGGGCAGCGCTCGGCTCAGCCGCGGCCCTCCCCTATGGCAGGCTCCGCAGCAAGGCGAGGTGCCCCCCCGTTTCCTGGCCCTGCCACTTCCTGGTACCTCCCCAACAGAGCAGCGCGCTCGGGCTTGATCGTCTGCACCCACAGAAGACAGCACTGGACCCAGAGCCCAGCTCCCCTCGCCCTGTGGAAAGCCCAGGTTTGACCCGCCTGAGGTCAGACTGGAGAGGAGGAGCCTTCCTGCTCCCCAGGGGGCAGATCTCAGTGTCCTAGCCAATCAAGGACATTTCTAGCCGTAAGATTTGGTGGAAGTCTACGGAAAGCTTCAGGAAGATTTTCTTCCCTCTTAAAACAGAATAGAGGGAAAGAAAGTGACCTCCTGTGCTCTGACCTGTGGATGCTGCTGTGAGAGCACAATGTCTAGAGATGTGGCAGCCATCTTGGGTCCATGAGGAGAGACTGTGCCATCACAAGAAAAGATGGAAAGAACCTAGATGTTGGACACTTGCCGCTGAGTTGCTGAATTAATCAGCCAACCCTAGGGCTGCTCTATTTCAAGGCATGGATGAAGCCACACTGAGTCTGGTCATCGTTTCTTAGTGGCAAAGCCATCTTGTTGGGTGCATCCTGCATAGGGTAAACCAGGCAGAAGCACGCCTCCTGGCATGAACTCCTCAGCATCCCTCCAGACCCCTGGGAGGCACTTAGCTGACATCCTCTTGAGCCATCCTAGAAGCACCCCGAAAACATGTCCGAACTTGAACCAATACGTGCCGAAGTCCCAGGAAGAGCTTCTCCCTACCTGTCTTCACGGGTGAATGGAGTAAGACCAAGTTCCAGCCCTGGTGAAGCTTCCATAGCAAACACACAACCATGCAGGAGGCACATGCGACTGGCGGGGGGTGGGGGGTGGGGGGACTGGGGAGGTGCCACCGAGAAGGGATAATTCAGCTGCGATTTCAATACTAAAGAGAATGTTTTGAGATTCAAATTCTCAGCTCTGAAAAGGAAAGAAGAGCTTTCCAGCCAGAGGAAATGGCATGTGCAAAGGCCCTGGGGTTGGGCTGAATCTGTCATTTTCCAGGAGCAGCAAGGAGCCAGGGAGGAGGTAGCAGTGAAAGAAGAGCGGAGGAGGGGGAGTCGGAAGGGCCTGTGGGGAGAGAGGACAGGGTCCTCCTCGGAATTCCAAAGTGCAGCTGATAGGGATTGAAGGGCAAAGCATCAGGCTTGGGTTTTCTGTTTGTTTGTTTGTGCACCAGCATTGAAGCCAGGGCCCTCACCACTGAGCCACATCCTCAGCCCTTTTTTTTGTTTTTGTTTTTGTTTTTGTTTTTTTTAGAGACAGGGTTTGGCTGAGTTGCCGAGGCCTTACTAAGTTGCTGAGGCTGGCTTTGAACTTGCCATCCTCCTGCCTCAGCCTCTTGAGCCTCTCGGGTGCCACCGCCCTGGTGACTCGAGCTGTTGTTGTTCTATGCATTTTTAGATGTTGATGGACCTTTATTTTATTTCATTTATTTAGTTTTTATGCGGCACTGAGAATGGCACCCAGGCCGCACCCGCCGCCGGGCAGACGCTCTACCGCTGAGCCCCAGCCCGTCTGGGTTTTTAAATGGCTGTGGGACGGCCCTGGTGACAGAGAACGACCCTGCGGGGCGTCTTCCAGGGGACACCGAGCCCTGCCATGTGAAGTCGCCGACTCCTCCCAGCCCCACTGCGAGGTTGGCCCGTCCTTCTTTCCATTTCGTAGAAAAGGAAACCGAGACCAGAGAGGGGAAGAAAGCTGCCCGCGGTCACAGAGCGAGGAGGAAACAGGGCACCCGCTAGGGCTCGGGGTGCGACCAGGGGGGCCGCGGAGAAGCGCAAGGACCCCACAGCTCCCTGTCCCTGCGGTCCCCTCCGGGGGCGTCGGCGTGGCTCTGTCCCTGAGGTCCCCGCCCAGCCTCCGCCGCGGGGGTCCCCTGCGCCCAGCTCCCGCCGCGTGGCCCCTGGAGTCCGCGGCTCCCCGCGCCCCCGCTGAGTCCCCGATGCAGCCGCGCGGCCTCCGGGTGGCACTTTGCAGACGCTTCCTGGGCCGCAGCGAGACTCGACTGTGTCGCCAGAGCCGGAAACAGTGCTGCGAGTGGCGGGCGAAGCTCGGTCCCCGGCCCAGGGCGCTGGGGTCCGCCGCAGGTCGCAGCCACCTCCCCTGGGGACGGCCGCCCCGGCCTTCCCGGGGCAGAGGCCGCGGGACTCCACGCAGGGCCTCCCACTCGGGGCTGCGGGGTCGCCCTCTCGGTTCCCCCTTAGCCCCCCATCAGCCCGGGACGGCTTAGTGGTGACAGTGACGGAGAGGGACCTGCCCAGCCTTCGGCCTGCTCTGCGCTCCAGGAGCCCCGCAGAGCGCGCAGGGCCCGGTGGGAGGAAAACCCAGGGGGACTTCGCGGAGGAGCCGGCCCGCGGGGGAGCCTCCACTCGCTGCCTCCCGCTTCCTCTCCTTCTTAAAAAAAAGGAAAAAGAAAGAAGGAGAAACCTCCTCAGAAGACAAATAAAGATTGACAGGAGGTGCGAGTTCTGGTCTGTGAGTGTGCGGGTCATGTGACTCTTAGAACTTCTTTCCTGCTCTCCAAAGCCCTGCGCGCGCGTGGCCGGTCCTGGAAACCCCAGAGGGGCCCGGGGAGAAAATGAAAATCACCTGTGATGCCAGCACCGACAGGCGCGCAGGGGGCACGCTGGGTTTTATTATTAGGGGACTTTTACGCACATCGACGCGCACAGACCTGAAGCAGGGGGTTGATGGATTTGACAAAAGGCCACGCCCGTGTGTGCAGCCCCCCAGTGGAGACCGAGAACATCTCCATCGCCCCAGAAATTCCCCTTGGTCCCCTCCCAGTGATGCCCAGCCCCCACCCATGGGCGACCCCCCCCCTTCTGATGTCCGTCGCCATGAATTAGTTTTGCCTGCGCCCTAATTGGAGTCACATGGCCCATGTGTGCTCCTTGGAGTCTGGTTTCTTTCACTCGGCTTTAATCATGCGCTCAGAGTCAGCCAGGCTTCTGCCGCCTGTCCCTTTTTATTGCCGAGTAGTGCTCCACAGTGCGCTGAACCCCCGGCCTCCCCGAACCTGGAGGATCGTGTAGGTGTCTCCTCCTGGAGGCTGTCGTGAATGAAGCCACTTAGGAACATCAGTGGACAAGTCTTCATTTTTCCTTGAGCAGATACTTAAGAGTGGGATAGCTGGGTCCCGGGATTAGCTTCTGTAAGTAATTACCAACCAACCAAAGAGTCGGGCTGTTTTGTTTCCGCCGCAGCTGAACCAGGGTCTTGCTGTTATTAAGTCTCCTTCACACCTCAGATACATGGAGGGGGTGGGGATGAGACGCGGCTCAGTGACAGAGTGACAGAGCGCGTATCTAACAGGCGCAAGTTTGGGATTCCTCTCCACTAAAAAATTAATCTGGACCCAAAGCACATTTTTCTGCAATTTGCTTCTTTCATGTCCACAAATAGAGCTCGGCGCTTTCTACCTCAGCGGTGCAGCCCTTGTTCCTCCTGCCCCCCCCAGGACACTCTGTCATGTGTCCCCCGTGGGTGGACACTCAGGTGGCTCCCAAGTTCTGATCCTGGGCAGTGTCCTGGGCACCATGTTTCTCTGGGACAGTAACCCACAAAGAAATGGCTGGGTTCAGGGTCTACACGTTGTAAATGTAAAATCAGCCCCAAGAGCCAGGATTTCTGTCACTGGATCCTGCGAGGACGGGAACACATCGTCCACGTGAGAAAACGGGAGAGGAGTGACTTGGGTGAGTAGGGACAACGCTCTGTGTTGGCCACTGGGACTGGAGGGAGGAGAAGGCGTCAGGGCTGTGTGCGGAGGTCCTGGGACACACTCCTGGAGCCACATGCCCTGGGCTCACATTACGGCTGCCACTGTCCCGCTGTGTGACCCCACACAAGTCACTCCACTTCTCTGTGCCTCTGTTCCCCACCTGAAAAAATTGATAAAAGAGTAGCCACTGCAAGGGTGTGAGGACCCACATCTGTGTCGAGTTAAGTCCTTAGATGTCATCTGTCGTCAAAACAATAGCCACCAAAGTGTGCTGGGTCTCAAGAACCCACTGCACCACAGTCCAGCTGGCCTCCGTGGCCCTAGGTAGCTCTCAGTCCCCTGCTGGAGGGGGGCGGGCGGGGGACGCCTGAGGAGCTGCTTCCCGGGAGCCCTGAGAAGATGGAGTTCCCAGAGCAGAGCTGGTGAGCCGCTCCAAAAGCCCCGGGCGGCCCTGACGGGGCCAGGGGAGCAGCGAGGAAATCACCAGTGACCTTTGGGGCAGAAGGACAGGGGCCCCGGCTGGGCTGGGGTTTTCCAGGGAGCTGTCGACTGCTCTTCTGAGAACTCTGCCAGACGGGCCCGAACTTGAGAACGCGGCTCCCTTTAGGGACCCAGAGCTCTGCTGCGCGGGCTTGGGGTGCGCGGGTGCTGGTGTCAAGGGCGTGTCTGCAGGGCCCGGACCTGGGGCTCACCCCACCCTGCACCTGCCCACCCCCTGCCCCAGCACCCTGCTCCCCGCCTCACCCCTCCCCTGCGCCTTCTAAATCAGGGGTGGCCAGCTCCAGCCACCTGCCCAGGCCAGCCGCTGCCGGTGCCTGTGCAGCTTGTGAGCTAAGAACGGTTCTGCATCTTTAAGTGGCTGGAGGAAAAATTCAAAAGAAGAAGACTGTTTTGTGTCCCAGGAACGTGATATGAAACTCAGACCTCGGCGTCCATGAATAAAGTTTTATTGGCACACGGCCCTTGGTTTGCCCACTGTGGGTGGCTGCTTTGTGCTACGGGGGCTCAGTGGAGCAGTTGCCACGAGACGGTGGGGCCTGCGAGCCCTGAGACATCCGCTCTCGGGCCCTTTGGAAAAGGAGGCATTTTCTGACCTTGGTCTAGATCCTGCTTCAGGTGAAGGAGACCAGGGCCAAGGTCCTTCTCAGCCTCTTGCCCTCCGTGACCTTCCCTGGGTCCTGTGGGCCACATTAGCACCATGACCAGCTCGTGTGTCACAGGGTGCAGGCTGGCGGACACCAGCTCTCTGTTGTATCCTCGTCCCCTTCTTGCTCGAGGGGCTGGACCTGGTCATTCAGGTCGAATCCCCCATCATTGGACATGTGGCCTGAGAGTCAGCCATCACTGACTTCAGCGTGAACTTTAGGTATTAAATACTGAAAGCCGCCCCTTTGCCACTTGGAATCCAGTTTTCTCATCTGTAAAGTAGGAGACCCCTTCCCGCAGGCCTCTGGCCCTTAGGAAGGACCACTAAGACCTTGCCAGGCAGTGTGGGGTCATCCATTGGCCAATACATTGAGAGGCATTTTGAGGACATGATAGGCTCCAAACTCAGAGACTGGGTGTGATTTCAGCCCAAATGTGCTTTACGAGTATGCACCTTTTCTAAAAGAGAAAAAAATTTTAAAGTCTGTGTAGATCTAACAGCCCACAGACCCTACCTAACTGGCCCCGTGGGCAGCTGAGTCCCCTTGGATGGAGGGTTATGGCCGTGAGTCCCAGGAGCCCTAAAGAAGTCTCCGTCAAAAGAAATCTCCATCATGTTGGGTTAGGCCCCAACTGCCTTAACAAGGCTCCCACAGAGCAAGGAATGAAACCAAGAATCAATAAATGGGATGGATCCACACTAAAAAGCTTCTTCTCAGGAAAAAAAACTACAATCATGAGGTGAAGAGAGAGCCCACAGAACGGCAGCAGATTTTCACCAGGCTCACGTCGGGCAGAGCACTCATCTCCAGGACCCACGAGGAACTCGGAAATCTCAGCTCCAGAAGATCCTACCACCAGTGTGTAAACAGGCCCAGGAACTGGACAGACACCTCTCAGAAGAAGACACGCAATCAGAGATCCATGAAAAAGTGCTCCACATCTTCAGGAATCAGAGAAATGCAAATCAAAACTAAGATTTCATCTCTCCCAGTCAGAATGATAAGAACACAAGCAACAGTAAGTGCTGGACAGGAGGGGGGACAAGGCACACCCCTACACGGCTGGTGGGACTGCCAATCAGTGCCACCACCATGACAGCAGTGTGGAGAGTCCTCAGAAAACTGGGAACGCGACCACCGCTTGACCCCGCTGTCCCACTCCTTGGTTTATACCCAAAGGACCTAAAATCAGCATGCTATGGTGACGCAGCCACACCAATGTCCACAGCAGCTGAATTCACAGTAGCTAAGCTGTGGAACCCACCCAGATGCCCATCAATACATGAAGGATGAGAAACTGTGGCACATATACACAATGGAATCCTACTCAGCATTAAAAGAGAATAAAATGGGGGCATTAAAAGAGAATAAATGGATTTGGAGAAGATTATGCTAAGTGAAGTAAGCCAATCCCCCCAAACTAAAGGCTGAGTGTTTTCTCTGATTAGTGGATGCTGCTGATCTACGATGGGGGGAGGATGGAGGAACTCTGGATTGGGCAAAGGGGAGGTGGGGGGTATGGGGTAGGAGAGATGGTGGTACACGTATGACGTCCAGAGAATTGAAATGCCGTGCTCCGTCTGTTTGGTTTTGTGTGCTGATGTTCATTCTTAGTTGTAGGTGGACGCAATGACACGTGGTGCCGAGGATCCAAGAGGTGCCTCACGCGCAGTGGCGAGCGCTCTGCCTCCGCCGTCCACCCCAGCCCTGTTGTGCTCCGTTTGTGGACGAGGAATTGAGAGGCGTCTGCTGTCAGCTGCAACTAAGGAGAACAACAATAAAAAATTAAAAAAGAAAAGGAAAGAGCGGCCCAGAGACCACCTCCCCCATCACTTCACTCACTGGTCGGCCTCGGCAGCCGACCAAGCCCAGAGTCACCCGAGCCCGAGCCACCTGGAGCCACCTGGAGTCTGCAGACTGCCCCAACTGCCCCAGGGGTCCTCGGGGGGTGGGAGCCCAACTCTGCTGGTTTGGGAACCGTCCCCACGCGGTTCTCGGGCAGAGTTTGTCTCTAAGGCAACAGAGAAGGAGCAGGGCTTGTCGGCGCTTGCCTCCAGGTACCTGAAGGTCGGGGTGGGGATCGCGACCTCAAGGGGTCCCTACACCCACGTGGGTCACAGAGATGGCCTGGCCACCACTGTCAAGGGAACAGAGTGGCCCTCTCTCCTCCCTGGGCTTGATCTCCTGCTCCGAGGACAGGCCCTGCTTCCTTTCCTGCCTTCTGGAACCTGGGACTATGTAACCAGCAGTGGACGGGAGTCTCCCGGAAATGTGGCAAGTGATGAGCGGTTCGTTTTCCAGAGATTATCCCAATTCCAAAAGACGAGCCCAAAAGTCAGAAGAATTCTTCAAAATCATTATCTTAAATACAGTCATTTTTAAAACCCTTTAAAAAATAAATGGAAAATGTGGATTACAACAAGACACAGTGTGAAGGGCCTGTGCTGGGGACGGGCAGATGTGAACCAGACCTTGGGGCCGCCGGCCCCTGCCTGGCACACCGTGTGCACACGCGCTGGCACCGGGTGCCTGTGCCCGGGTGGCAGGCTGCTGCCTTGCACTCTGCAAACCGCGGTTGGGTCCCAGCCCCACCAGCTGAGGGACATCCAGCAGCACGCTGGGCCTCAGTGCACCTCACTCCACAGCAGTGACCAAAATGGCACTGGCTCCCTCAGCCCTGGGTGGCGGGAAGCACCCCATGAGAAGACGCCTTACAGCGGAGCCCCGATTCGGAGCAGGTGCCGGGTGGTTCCCAGCTGGAGTCCGCTGCACGGCTCCCAGGGAAAGGGCACACAGGGAACCCAACACCCTGACCTCTGCAGTCAGGCGGCTGCGCCCAGCGGCCCCTGCCAGTGCTCTCCTCCCACCCCCTGGTCCAGCTGCCAGGCTGAGTCACTCACAGAGGGACGGAGGGGATGGGCACATGACCTGGTGGGGAGCCAGCTGCAGTGTGGAGGGGGAGGGGGCAAAGGCCGCAGGGGTGGCCCCGCCCCCGCCCGCCGCGGGAGACTTCCTGCAGGGAGGAGGTCCAGGCCTGGCCCCAGGTCTGCCGCTCAGCCGCGGCTGGCTCTTCCTCTTCCTCCAGGAAGCCCACCGGAATTGGGCCTGGGGTGCCTGTGTGTGTGTGTGTGTGTGTGTGTGTGTGTGTGTGTG